ATTAAATATCACTTTTATATTAATTGATTATATCAAATTTTATATTTATTGATTTTTAAATATTTATTAAATGTGTTATTAAAAGTCACTTTTTCGAACTTGTTAAGAGTTGTTGGAAGAAAAATCAAGGTCCAGTAATTCAATTTAAAAGCATAAATAAATAGGGAAATAAATAAATAAATACATGAATCACAAAATATGAAAAATTGCTAATTTATGGATATTTTTAAGTGTACATTATATAGTTGTATAGATATTAGTACAGTAATGGGTAAATAATTTATATTACTATATTTGTTGCTTTACCATTGCAACTATTGAACTACCAAACAGAATAATTAAAGTAGTTTACAATAGTCTATGGTTAAAAAACACTATTTACTATAAATTACTATGGTCTTTTTCACAGCAACAGTTCAAACACAGAAGAGAACAAATATAAATGTCATGTAAAGAAGCAATTAACAAAAAAATAAAAATAATAAATAAATTAAAATATAATTAGGCCTACCTACTGATGAGAAGAATTCTTGTTCAGTTATACTGACAAACCACGAACACACCACAAATAATGTCAGCTCCTTCATCGCCATTATTAAATCAACTTCACAAAGCACAAAAAAATGTTTGGTGTATGTATCATGAACTGATAGCAGAGATTAAAAACGGACTGCTTACGGGCATCCTTTTAAAAGCACACCTGTATTACGTCATGAGACTGCATTACACAATTTCTCGGCACTGCTGCCATAAACACAATAAAATGAAAGTGAAAATAACATAAGTGACAATCATGATGATGTGTGAATAAAGCGTGTTGTTTGGTGTAATCAAATGGTTTTGATATAAAACACAGTATAATTTTGAAAGAAGAACACATCCTCAAATAATCATGCTCCCAATTAACTGCACAAATATTATTATTTTAAATTGTTAACTATCATAGATAGATAGATAGATAGATAGATAGATAGATAGATAGATAGATAGATAGATAGATAGATAGATAGATAGATAGATAGATAGATAGATAGATAGATAGATAGATAGATAGATAGATAGAGATTTGGGAAATAAAAAAATATCAAAGGGGGACTAATAATTCCCCCTTTATTATAGATTATTTATCGCTACTCAATGGCCATATATAATTTGTACTTGGTCAATTGGCATCAATTGTGTGCATGTTCTCCCGTGTTCGCTTGGGTTTCCTCCTGGTGCTCCGGTTTCTCCCACAGTCCAAAGACATGCACTATATAGGTGAACTAAATAAACGAAATTGGCCGTAGTGTTTGAGTGTGTGGCGAGGCAGTGGCGCAGTAGGTAGTGCTGTCGCCTCACAGCAAGAAGGTCGCTGGTTCGAACCTCCGCTCAGTTGGCGTTTCTGTGTGGAGTTTGCAAGTTCTCCCTGCCTTCGCTTGAGTTTTCTCCGGGTGCTCTGGTTTCCCCCACAGTCCAAAGACATGCGGTACAGGTGAATGGGGCTAAATTGGCTAAATTGGCCCAAGTGTATGAGTGTGTGAATGTGTGTGTGGATGTTTCCCAGAGATGGGTTGCGGCTGGAAGGGCATCCGCTGTGTTAAAACTTTCTGGATAAGTTGACGGTTCATTCGGCTATGGCGACCCGGGATTAATAAAGGGAATAAGCTGACAAGAAAATGAACGAATGTATGAGTGTGTGTGTGTGTGTGTGTGTGTGTGTGTGAATTTTAGAGTGTATGGGTGTTTCCCAGTACTGGGCTGCAGCTGGAACGGCATCCACTGTGTAAAACATATGCTGGATTAGTTGACAGTTCATTCCGCTGTGGCGACCCCTGATGAATAAAGGGACTAAGCCGAAGGAAAATTAATGATTGAATGAGTTTGTACTTGTAATGAACTTTCCTAAGAGTTAATTATATACAGTTGTATTTGTTTATTGTGTATTTGTTGTGAAACCATTTGATGCATTTACTTGAAAGCACCATGTTTCCAGAAAGCATAAGAAACTAGTCTTTCCACTTCGGGATATTTATCTCACCAGCTCACCACATCTCTTTATGGGATGTCAGTTTGACAGGTCAGAATAATATGTGATTCTTCACCTGATGGTTTCACTTATCCAGAAGTGTGAAGCACTGATCAAATTTCTAGCGCTTTTGAAGCAATAATTCAATTGTCTAATTATGTTTCATCTCTCTAATTATGTTTTATCTGTCTAATTATGTTTCATCCTTTGACTAATTCATCATATCAAAAACTGTCATAAGAGTGCTGGTGTTAGCAACCCTTCATGTCGGCATCACATGCGAGTGTGAGTAATACAGAAACTGAAAGTACGCAATAAATCATCACATCAGCTTGAATGTGTTCCTCAGTTCACTGTAAACAACTCTTACAATGTTATGTTTTTGCTGAATAAATGTTTGTATGAGAAATTAATTATTTCATGTGCGTACACCATAAACTGTAAAATATAGGCGTACACACATATTACACTTGTTTTTGCTACACTGTGAGGACCAAAAATCCAGATAAGAATAATAAAACATGAGTCTATTAAACCTTGAATGCTAAGGAAAGGAAATTGTAAAAGACACAAAATTATGTTTATCTGAAAGTTTATAAATGCAGAATGTGCAGAAAAGAGATGTGTTTACAGGTTGGGTTGAGTTCTGGATGGAAAATACCATTTGGTCTGTATAAAGCACAATAGAAGTTTGTGGAAAGTCCCTGCAGTAAATTGACTAAGGTGTGACTAAAGTGTGACAGATTAACAGACCAAAGTGTGTGTCATGTTTAGGCAGCATGGTGGCACAGTGGGTAGCACAATCGCCTCACAGCAAGAAGGTCGCTGGTCAGAGTCTTGGCTGGGTTAGTTGGCATTTCTGTGTGGAGTTTACATGTTCTTCCTGTGTTTACGTGGGTTTCCTCCGGCTGCTCCAGTTTCCCCCCACAGTCCAAAGACATGTGCTATAGGTGAATTAAATAAGCTAAAATGGCTGTGGTGAGTGTGCAAGAGTGTGTGGATGTTCACCAGTGTTGGGTTGCAGCTGGAAGGGCATCCACTGCTTAAAACATATGCTAGATAAGTGGGCGGTTCATTCCGCTGTAATAAAGGGACTAAGCCGAAAAGAAAATGAATATACAGTTGAAGTCAGAATCACTGTCCCCTTTTGATTCTTTTTTTTATATATATATTTTCTGAATGATGTTTAACAGAGTAAGGAAAGTTTCACAGTATGTCTGATGATATTTTTTCTTCTGGAGAAAGCCTTATTTGATTTATTTCGGCTAGAATAAAAGCAGTTTTAATTTTTTTAAAAACATTTTAAGGTCAAAATTATTAGCCCCTTCAAGCTATATTTTTAAGATAGTCTATAGAACAAACCATCGTTAATGACTTGCCTAATTAACCTAACCTGCCTAGTTAACCTAATTAACCTAGTTAAGTCTTTAAATGTCACTTTAAGCTGTATAGAAATGTCTTGAAAATGTCTAATAAAATATTATTTACTGTCATCATGACAAAGATAAAATAAATCAGTTATTGGAGATGAGTTATTAAAACTATTATGATTAGAAATGTGTTAAAAAAAAATCTTCTCTCCGTTAAACAAAAATTCGGAAAAAATAAACAGAGGGGCTAAAAATTCAGACTGGCTAATAATTCTGACTTAAGCTGTATAAATAAGTTTGTATGTATGTATGTATGTATGTATGTATGTATGTATGTATGTATGTATGTATGTATGTATGTATGTATGTATGTATGTATAAATTATGAGTAAACAATGTCATAAATCATACAGAATATAACATTTTAAAATATCAATTTCTGAGCCTGGACCAAAAAAAAAAAAGTTGGATGTTGCACAGGGTATGTTGTTAGACAAAAATATATTGTGTGGGTCAAAATGATCATTCACCTTGCATGTATCAACTGACCTTGTGCCCTGCTTAATTACAGATCACAGTTTAGACAATACAGATAATACCAAAAGTATTTCTTTTTCAACATTAATTGCAAGACGTCTTAAATGTAATTTTTATCATTGGATTAGGGATCTTATGATTCGGTAAACCACCAAAGCAATATCACACTCGTAGCAGTGCGATATGGCTGTATATCGGCACTCGTGGGAGGCGTGCGATGCCCCCACCAGTGCCGATATACAACAATATCGCACTGCTACGAGTGTGATATTGCATTTATACAACAGTTTGACGACATAATTGTGTATATAAAAACAAAATCAAACCTAGAGAGTCTCAAAAACCCTTTTGTATGAGGAACTATTTTCTTCCGCATTGGATTCAAATCATAAGGTGACAGTTAAACAGCTGTTAAAACAGTTAAAAGCATCTTTTAAACTTTAGATCTGTAGTGTCTGCTTTTTGCTGGCTTTATGTGGGCGGAGTAATACACAAAGGGTAAAGAGGCTGTAGTTCTGATATTGCAGAATATCGCATGACTATCAGCCAATCAGATTTGAGAAACAGACAGAACTGTTGTATAAATATATATCAGGATCAGATTTTTTTGTACATTTTCAACTGTAAATATATAAAACTGTTTAAAATATATTTTTTGCTATTTTTGCTATTTGCTAATTTTTTATTAGTAATGTGCATTGTTATTTTTTACAACTTTCAAACAGACAGACAGACAGACAGACATAGGGATAGATGTAATGAGGTAAACTAAATTTATATGGATTATTTTAGTAGCAATGTGAACATATATGAATAAACTGTATTTTAAAAAAAGAATAGTAGCTACACTTTTCTTACTATACGCTGTTGTATCCAGCACATCCAATCCAACAGACGGCGCTACCGTGTGTTTGTGCTCAGTAAACCCCGTTGTTTCTGTTGTCTGAGGAGTCTACGTCACTTTGGCGCCGAATCATTCAGGGCAAAGCGCGCGGAAGAAAACATCGATTCTTCTGACTTTTTAACAACTCGCCGAAAGATATATTAAACACGTATTTGGGATTCAGCACTGCAAGACTACAACCATGCAGCGAAGCATAGCGTAAGTGTGTCCTGCTCTCTTTGTCTATTTTCATGTTTAGATCGGAGGATATTAACTGCAGCTTCTAAAACGACAGCGCGATTGACTTGAACTTAATCTGTGACACCAAGTTTATCTTTATATTGCACTTTTTAAGCGACTGCCAGAATTTACAATATAATATTAACTCGAGTAAACTTAGCTTAACTTAGTCCTAACGTGGTCTCGCTATTTCTCGCCTACAGGTCTTTCTTTCAGCCAATGAAAGGCAAGGAGAAGAGTGATGGACAGGCCAAGGGAAAGCCAGGGTACGTGATGGTCGATAATGCTTTATGAGTTAAACATTATGCTGAGTTTTCCCTTTCTAATTAAGTGTGTTGTCTAAATATATAGCTAATCATTGATTTTTTAAAATTGTATTTTGGTATATATTCTCTTTGTTAAAGGGATAGTTCACCCAAAAATGAAAATACTGTCATCATTTGCTCATCCTTGTACATATTTCAAACTTGTCTAAGTTTCTTTCTTTTGTTGAACACACAAAAAAATTCTGATTAATGCTGCAAACCTGTAACCATTGACTTTTACTATCTGTTTTTTCTTCTATGAAAGTAAATGTTTACAGGTTTTCAGCTTTCCTCAGAATATCTTATTTAGTGTTTAACTGAAGTAAGAAACCCATAAGGGTTTGGATCCACATTGAGGTAAAGTTGGTTTTATGTTTACACATCAGGACTTTCTTCTTTATAATATCATTTAATAAAATCTTTTTTTTGGGTTATCAACAGGGTTTTAAAAATTCTTAATGCCTTAAATCTTTAAAGCTAATTTTAGGCCTTAAAAAGTCTTAAATCTACTGAAATATAATGTAGATTGTCTTAAATCTTTTTTTTTACAGGTCTTAATTTTCTTTGGCCCAATCGAGCCATTAAAACCACACAATCACCAACGATTCCAATGTCAGTAAAACATTTAACTTTTTATTTACAGTTTTTTTCTCGGTGGCTTTGGTGCATTTCTCCCAACACTATTTACATTTGCACAATAGTTAATGCATTTCTCAAAACATTTAGTACAAACTGCAAAACCTGGTTGATAACATGCAAAAGTGCATCACATGCTCAAAATGGATAGCTCATTCCTCAAAAGCAATTATTGATGTCAATGAAAGTGTCAGTGTCTTCAAAAGTCCTGACACCATTGTTTTTGAACAAAATAGTCAAATGTCTTTGTCGTGTTTTCATTAGGACAGTTTACTCTGTACATTTATTCCAATCCAAAAAAAGTCAGATTTTGGTGACATTTCCTGAGAATGCTCAAGACAGCACTGTATACTATTTGCACAGCCATTTGAAAACTACAGTAAAGTTAGACATCGCTGCATTTAGTGAGGTATCTGAGTACAAGACACTGAGTAGGTATGTTTCACATGTTTACTGCATTTGCCCTTTACAAATCTAATTTATTCACAGCATTGTGCAAAAGAATAAAAACACCCTTATTTACAACAAACATAAACTCCCTTTGGGTAGAGCTGTGCACAACTGTAAACAGTATTGCAGTACATATTGGAACTGAACCTACAACACACAGGTCTGTAAATCATTCATGAAATTGTTCAATTCAAAGACATTTTCAGTAAAAAAAAGATTAAATTTTTTAAATAAAATTATCTTGACAGGCTTTGACAACTAGTTCAACATTTTTGTATGTAATGACTCAAGTAATGAAATGAGGACTATTAGTTTTATAGGGAATGACTATTCAGCATTTACAAGTTTAGTTAATTTTGACTGACATGACAAAAGCAAATGATAATGTTATAAAACAGCAGAGAATTGCATGAAAGCTATTGATGCATGTCCAAAAGTATTTGCAGTTGTTGGAAGGACAAACTCTCAATGAGTTGATCTTAGTTCAAACGAATGACTAATTGTTTTGAGAAATTCATGAAATGTTGTGCAAATGTAAAAAGTGTTGTATAAATTCACCAAAGCGACTGAGAAAAACATAAAATAGCATTTATTTACTTTCCTCACAGCAACATTGTTTAAAATTTCTTCATTTATTTAGATACTGACCTGGCCTATATATTTTTTATTAAATTATTATTATTATTATTATTATTATTGTGTTATTAAATGTTTTAAATTATAATAATTTTTGATAGGCAAAGTAGTGAAAATCTTTTCCAGCTGAGATATTCCAATTACATTCTTACCATTTAGCCCTCTATAAATCTAAAATTTAATTCATAAGGGTTTTAAAAATGTCTTAACTTGGTGAAACCTGCAGAAAACCTGTTTTTGCTAATTCTAAATAGTGAAATCATATTAGCAGCCAATAGCTATGTTTCCATCCACCTATTTTGCAAATGCACATTAAAAAACAGTTGATGGAAACTGTAATGCGCATAAATTTTGAAAATGCGCATAAAAAACTTTTGCGCCTAACTGGGTAGGATAAACTTTTTATTCGATAAGAAAAGATGCATAAACTGCGATGGAAACACTTACCGCACAAACTCCAGCATGCGCATTAAAAAAAGGTCAAGATTTTGCTAAAAGAGATCATGTGATGCTTAAAATGTGTGCTAATGGATAAAATGTCAGGTTGAGCACATTATAAAACATCTGAAATGTTGTTTTGGTCATTATAAAATGCCTTACCATTTCAGTATTAATATTATATTTTAATGACCTCCAGAATCAAGAGCGCCTGTGCGTCTGACACCTTCAAATGCCACTGTGCGCTCACTGCTTGTCAGGATTGTCTTCTGAGGCGCATTCATTTAGAAAAGATTGATGCAGCTTCTCCTACTGCAGCAAATGCAGTTTTTACTGTTGATATTTGGCGCCAGTTAATCAGGAAGTGACGATTTTGTTCGCTTTGACTCGTTGGATGGAAACGATGCTTCATTCGCACAACTTTTATGCGATAATCCAGTTTTGTGCATAAAGTTTATTCACATTTTTGGATGGAAATGCAGCTATTCACCATCAAAGTAAAACATTGTTCAAAGTCAAATAAATAGTGCTAATGTTGTTTTAAAGTCATACTTGCATGTGATTTCACACTGAGTATTTAAAATACCACGGTAAACAATACAGGGAGCATGTCACAAGTTGTCACCGAGGGTGAGTAAATTGTGAGTAAACTTTCATTTTTGGGTGAACTATCCTTTCAATTAATTTAATTGATTTTTTACATGTTTTTGTTTTTTGTTGTCGTCTTTTACTCAGACCAGTAAAAAGTCCTCTTAAAATTCAGAATGGCGTGCAGGAAAGTGATTCGCCAATAAAGAAGGTTCATAAACGCAGTCGAGCAATCCTAGACAGCGATGAAGAAGATGGAGATCAGCCAATGGTCAAGGAGCAGGAGCCAAAACAGAGTGAAGTTCAAACAGTAAAGAAAGAGAAGGTAAAATGTGAATAATCATGACCACTAAACATGAGAGCATGTCAGTATTGTTGTTAACTTTATTTCTGTCCCATGCTACCACAAATGCTCAGATTTCTGATGTTAAGACGGCTGAGGTAACAAAGGCTTCCTCTACTCCTGTATCTCCAAAATCCCCCAAAACCCCAACGACTCCGGTCACTTCGAGCACCTCTGTTTCTGTTGTAACTCCTGCGTCCTCTGGGACTCCTGGAACTCCAGCAACTCCAACATCAGTGTCACCGTCAGGCATTCCCAAACGCAAGACTGGTCTGTATTAGTCTGCTTTTCTCACTTTTTTGTGGTTGCGCTAATCATTTATTTGTATTTTTTCAATATTGCAAAATGCATTATGATTTAGGTATGGGCCAATGTAAAATTCTGATGGTATAATAATAATAATAATAATAAGTAATAATTATTAAATAATAATAATAAGTCAAGTCAGCTTTATTGTCAGTACACAATCAATCACATGTAAAGGACATACAGAGAATTGAAATTGCTTGACTCTCAGACCCCAGGTGCCTAACATGTAATATTAATACAAAAAGTAGAATAAAAAAAATATTACAATAAATACAGTTACACATATTATCTAAAAATATAAGTAAAAATTACAAATGTATGGTCCTTTTCTGTTGGAGATACTGTTGCCCTAAAAAAACTAAATAAAATAGTCATTAAAATTTTTTTATAAAAAGACACGTTCTGAGTTTGTTATATATTAACATTATATACACACTAACCGGCCACTTTATTAGGTACACCTTACTAGTACCGGGTTGGACCCCCTTTTGCCTTCAGAACTGCCTTAATCCTTCATGACATGGATTCAACAAGGTACTGGAAATATTCCTCAGATTTTGGTCCATATTGACATGATAGCCTCACACAGTTGCTGCAGATTTGTCGGCTGCAAATCCATGATACCAATCTCTCGTTCCACCTTAGCCTAAAGGTGCTTTGTTGGATTGAGATTGGATTATATGTTTATAACAAAGCAGCAAATCTGCATTTTAGGATGTGCATGTGTGTCAGTGTGTCTAGTTTTTGTGTAAAATGGTTTTCATTGCATCACAACATCATGTCAAAATTATCCCCTAAAATATATTGGGTTGTTGCACCCTATATGTGTACAGCCTTCATGAAAATAGAACATTGGTATATTTATTTCTAATGTTGGGGTAATTAAAAAAAAGGCTACAAACTTCAGAATAAATAGATAATTTAGGGCTGTTTTTCTGCTGTTGAAATAGTTACTGTTTATTTTGACAGAAGGGTTAAAAATCAGCTTATGAGTTTATTATATTTGATTAATTTGGCTTTTATTGGTCGTTCAGAGAAAAAAAACTTTCAATAATAAACTAAATCCATAAGGATCAGTCATGATGTAGTTGATTGTGTGCAGTAGGTTTTTCTTCAGTTCCTACCTGTTTAATATATTTGATGAAGCAGGCTTTCAACCTCTCTTTTTTTTAATAGCTCGTAAGCAGTTCCCTAAGAGGAAGCTGGAAAGCAGGAGTGATGGAGAAGAACTAAAAGAGGAAGAGAAGGAGGTCGATGGAGGACAGGAGAGTAAGAGAGCACGAGTCGACTCTTCACCAGAACAGACAGGTTAAATGAGTTGATATTTATTCACTGGTGTAGTTTCTCCTTGATCTCAGTTCATTTCTAATTCTTTTCTCTTTCTTTTTTTCAATTCAGAGAATGAGATGATGGAGGTGGACGAGACGAGTGCTGATGAAAAGACTGCAGTTGAGGAGAAAGAGGACAAGGCGAAAACTAGTGTAGTTGTGGACAGCGAGATGAAAGATGAAGATGACAAGAAGCAGAAGATAAATACAAACAACGAGGCAAAAGAGAAGGATAAAAATGAGAGTAAGCAAGAGGAGAAGATAGATACAGAAAAGGAGACGAAAGAAAAGGATAAAAAGATCAATAAGCAGCAGGAAAAGAAAGAAACAAAAAAGGAGACAAAAGAAAAGGATAAAAGTGACAAAAAGCAGGAGGAAAAAGATAAAAGTGACAAAAAGCAGGAGGAAAAGGATAAAACTGAGGAAAAAGTAAATGGTGAGAATGAAAAGGAGAAAATACCGGACAAGAAAGGAAAAGAAAGCAGCAGTCCTGAAAAAGTGGTGAAAAAAGAGAAGGACACAGACGGAGGATCTGCCAAAAAGAAACCCATCAGCAGCTTTTTTGGTGAGCCTTTTTATTGTTTTCTTCTTTTTTTTTGTTAACCACTCAAAATAAATGACTTATTTACCTTCACAACATCCCAAACCTGTATGATTTTTACAGCACAAGGGTGAGAAGCTATACAATTGAGTTTTCAGCTGAACCGTTATTTAGCTTTTAATCTTTTGTAGCACCCAGAAAGGCTGCAGTTAAACTGGAAAAAGAAGAGCGAAATGAAGGAGAGAAAAAGAAAGATGGAGAGACCTCTGATGTGGTGGAACAGAAAGAGAAGAAAAGGTTACAATTTAAAATGCCTTAATGACTTTAATAATATTTGGTAATTATTGTTCATTTTGGAAGTTTCTTTAGGTTTTTAAATATATATTTTTTCCAACAGTGAAAAGGGAGTGGATTCTGCAGTCCAGAGCCAATATGATCCTTCTAGAGCACATTATCATCCCATTGACCACGCCTGCTGGAAGAAGGGTCAAAAGTAAAGCATGCCTTTCGTTATTTATGAAACAGAGAGTCCTACGATTTCAGATTTTTCACAGAACTTCTTCAATCATCCCTATAGTCAGAGTTTGTTTTTGGTCTGTGCTTAACACAAGCTGAAGATATTTTCAGGTTTTGTTCTGTAACAGAATAATCTGTAATATCCACAAAGGTTTATACAGTCCTGGAAAACCTGGAAATGTCATGGAATTTTGACAATGCATTTTCCAGGCCTGAAGATGTTTTGGAAAAAATCAACCCAAAATATTTTTAAAAAGTCATGGAAATTAATTTGTTTAGCAAAAATCGATCTACTTGAATATGTTTGAGGTGATAATATTGGGTAAATTTTAAATACAATTGCGCAGTTAATTTTTTCATGTGACGTTCTCTTAGTGTGGTAAAAAAAAGCAACTCGTAGTTTCAGTTTCGGCTCTCTTTCACTCGCATTCGTCGTAATTTAAGCTACATTTTTTAGTGTGGTGTCCAGAAACCATCTCGAACTACAGGGCTAAGATGCTGTGAGTGCTAAAAGCTAATTTGTACTATTCTTATAAGTCTTATAAAAACAAAAGCCAACTATTCTAAAATATATTCATACAGACAGCAAGATACTTTCTAAAGCTTTTTACAGATTAAAAAACTACACAGAATGTCAATATTTTTTAATATGCTTTAAAAAGTTTGCATTTTTTTTCATGTAGTGTATGTAGACATTATTGAAACATTCGGTCATGAATATTTTACTGAAAGTTTTAAAAAATATCCTGAAATTTTAGTAGTAAAAATGTGTATGAACCCTGTGGCATGTGATCATGCTGAATTGAAAATCTGCTCACTAGTCTCCATTTGTGCAAACCAATTCTTTTACCAACTTGTAGACGTTAATGTTGAAGAAATGTGAGCGTGGAGTTTAACTATGTACACAACTTCTTACTTTAGCAGATGGTATTTAGGCTTTAAATGAATTTGTGAAGAATATCTTCATGAACTAAATCTGTAAGGTTCATAAAAATTAACTTATGGATTCTCACAATAATGTGTCATCCCTGCAGCGTTCGATATGTCATTGTTAAAAGATCAACGTAGTTAAATGCAAACTATTAATTATAGTCTTTTCTTCCCCTGCGGTGTTAGGAAAAGCTTTATACATTTACAAAAAAGCACTTTTTCCCCTTAAGCAGTAAAGTTTGATTTCCTCTCTTTCTTTTTTTTTTTTTTTCTTTTTTTTGGAATTTCATTATCTTTATCTCTTTCTCAGAGTGCCATATTTGGCTGTTGCTCGCACCTTTGAGAAAATTGAAGAGGATTCTGGAAGGTATGAAGTCTTGTATTCTGTGTGTTTTTCTACCTTTTATTTTTCATCTGTTTGAGCTAGAAAATGGGTCAATTTGTTTTAAAAAAATGTCTTTTTTTTTTTTTTAGGCTAAAAAATATTGAAACTCTTTCCAACTTTCTGCGCTCTGTAATTCTGCTATCTCCAGGTGAGTGTGTGTGAGAGTTTATACCTTGTGGTTTAAATGGATAGTCATTGTTTATGAGGTAACAGGGTTGTACTTTGTTTTTGTTCAACTTAAAAATAGCTGAATAGATTAAAGGGAAAAAGTTCACCAAAATATTTAAGTTGTCATTCTTTTAAGCACAATAGATCATATTTTGAAGACCGTATTCATACAAATTTTCAACACATGTTGAATGTCTTTTGTTCAAGAGAAAAGAGAATCTCAGAAAGGTTTAAAACCACTTGAGTGAGAGGAAAATTCTCAATTTTCATTGTTTGGGTTAAGTTATCTCTTCGGTAGCCAGAAGAAACACTTCAAAAATATAGTATGTAATCAGAATATCTAACCTTTAATGGATGTTTACACCAAGCACGATAAACAAGATGGAGTTCTGAAAAATGTTTCTGAATGTAAAACAACAGCACACTTCAGACCGAAAGTTGTAATACTAAAGATAGAGAGAAACAATGTTGTTGATTTTCTCTTTGACTTTCTGTCTACATTGAAATAAAAAGGGCTTGTGCAGTTTAAAGCTACAAGTGACACTGTGGAGAAGCACTCTGCTTGATTTTAAGCCCACTTTTCAAAGATTATTTAACAATAGCGATATTGGAAACATTTGGTTGTACTATAGGAAGGAATGACAAAAATAAATGAATGAAAGCCAGACTAGCCGCTTGTTAAGAGTGACTTCACACAAAGTAGCTTCTGGGTCCAAATGCTCTATCAAACTGTATGGGGAGGCTCAGCAAATGGTAATAATAAACGTTAACAAAGCGCTGTAATACTTTTGAAAATTACAATCAATATGACTAAAAAGTGGTCATAAACAAATATTTTCTTAATTCAATTGAGTAGCGGCTTGGACCCAGAAACAGTATTTTATACGTCACAAGTTGAGAAGTGGATAAACTTGACGTTTAAAAAGAAATGTACCTCAGGTTTCCAAAAAATTATTTGTTTTTATTCCACTACAGTGACTGTGATCGCTAAATTTCTGTTTTATTAGATAGATTAAAAGAGTTTTATTCACTGGTCTGATTCAATAAAAACATGGTTATAAGAGGGTAATGTAAAACTGTAGTGTAAGTAAATGTATAATTTAAAGTAAACCGATCGCTATCGTTTGCTGGTGTAAACACAAATATAGTTTTAAATTTATAGCTATTGTCCTTTGTGTGAACGTCTCTTTACTCCATACTCTTTGTTTGTTTAGATGACCTGCTGTGTTGTGTGTACCTGTGTCTGAATCAGCTGGGCCCTGCGTATCAGGGTCTGGAGTTGGGCATCGGGGAGACGGTACTTATGAAAGCCGTCGCTCAAGCAACCGGTAAATATATTCGTCTTTCCTATGGACCCTTTTTTCAAGACATTTGAATGACACATTTAATGGTCATCATAAACTTAAATTCTTAAAAAATTGTAATGTATATATTTTTTTAAAGATCCCCTATTTTGCATTAAAAAGGTAATATTTTGGTTTTGGGGGTCTCCAACAACAGACTGATATGCATGCAAGGTCAAAAAACATTTTCATTGTCTTATAATGTGCATTTATTTTTACCTAATTATCCCAACGACTCACATATGATTCATTCAGAGATTCTTTTGTTCCCAAACCCCTCCTTAGCACGATGCTAATCTGCGCTGATTGATCTGATAACCCAGTCTGTTGTGATTTGTCGACTGCGTTTAGCGTAAAACAGAGAGAAACATCCACTATGGATTATTAACATTGTTGAAGTAGTCAAAGTGCAGAGTGTATGTGTGAGCCCAATGAAGGAGTGCATTAAAGCAATGCAGTTTAACACCAGCATAATGCTCTATTCTTAACCATAAGTAAAAACAGTGACACACATTCTGTATTAATTCACACAGTGGCAAAAGCTGAACTAATTTGGAACTTGACCGCACATGTGTAGAACAGCTGTTAGTGGCCATAGCAGCAATAAACAGTAGAGGATCACAAGCTCACAAACACATTTGAGTCTGTAAACAAAGCGTCACGTGTCGCATTTTCATTGTGGCTTTAGACACAATATGTGAATATAAAGAGTTAACCAGATACGGTACAAGCCACGTGGAGCGATTACAAGTAACAAAACAATTAAATACATAATTTGCTAGTAGAGAAAACAAGGAGGCAACTTATTTAATCACACTTAAGTTACTTAAACTTGTGAAATGGAGGAAGAAACTGATCCATGAACTGTGTACTGTTCCTGTCAAGCTCTTACAAAGTCCCATTTATTAATAGTCTTTTCTGATCCTTCCTTTAACAAACAGCCAACGATTCCCCCATTGCAGGGTAGATTATTGTGTTAATCACCAGAACTTTCACTCCTCTTGTCATGATCAGTTCAAAACACACCCGCACTCTGCTAGCGTTTGAAGAGAAAGGCGCGTTCATGTTTTACCGGATCTGGCACAGAACGTATTTGTCTTGTGTCAACATTGACGTGAACAGGCAACCCATCTGGACGAACAAGGAATCATTTAAACAACTCTGAGTCAAATCTTTTATTAAAAATCTATATTTTTAAACAAGGTGCAGTTTCAGATTTAAACATCAGCTGGATGTTTTCATTTACTTAGAGCTGTATTGCACACTACATGAAAGTTAGTTTTCAAAAACTGATAATAGTAGCTCTTTAAAAATGTGTTCATATTTATGTGTATTATATCATCCTTGCATCAAATTACAAAAAACAAAGTACCAATTGTGCAAGGCATTTGAAATGCAGAGTGTTTGGGGGCAGGACTGTAAATTTGACATTGTTATCTCCTCTGCCTGCTGTCTCATAACACCATCGTGGAGTTTTTCTTTAATTACTTCAGCAAATAGGATTTTAAAAAAAGTATTTGAACTCTCCCTTCACTGCACTCTTTAAGTTCACACAACTATGATGACTTCCACTGCTGAGAAACCCGGAAACGTAAAAAGGGTCCATTGTTACTCATTATCTCCTTGTCTGACTCCTGTACTTGTGACTTCTTTTACCAGGGCGACAACTAGACAAAATCAAGGCGGAGGCTCAGGAGAAAGGAGACCTGGGATTGGTTGCTGAAAGTTCCCGCAGTAACCAGAGAATGATGTTTGCACCGGCTAATCTGACAGCAGGGGGTGTTTTCAACAAACTGAAGGAGATTGCTCACATGAGTGGAAACTCGGTGAGTGCAAGAGAGAATAGTATGGCGTAAATGTACATGAAACTCTTAAATGTGTAAAAAAAAAAATTATAATAAATAAATAAATGAGCACTTTATTTTATTGTACAGAACCAATAAACTACAAGTTAGTAGCTTATTAATAGTTTATAAAGTAGTTGTTGGGTTTAGGTATTTGGTAGGATTAGGGATGTAGAATATCATCATACTTTATAAGTACTAATAAACAGTTAATATCTTAATTATAAATAATAAGCAGGTAATACGCTTGTAGTTAATAGTGTGAATTAAGTGTTACTTAAAGTGTCACAAAAAAGGTGATTTTCTTGAGCGTACAAAAACCATAATATGTTTGGAGATGTTTAAGAAACAAGCTGTTTTTTCAGATAAACAAAAATGTTTAGAGCATAAGTCAGTTTTTCTGCTTAAAAAAATTGAGTTACGCGGCAGAATGCTTTCTTTGTTTGTTTTTTTTAACCCACCCAATGCCACTTTAGCCAGTTATATTTCAGCACCCTAGGCTGCTCTGTTGGAAAACCGCGTATTTCATTCATTCAGTCAGGAAGACTCTCAAAGCATGTGTCTCTGACCGAAAATGCGACCTCTGGTGGACAGTAACAGCCCTGAAATGAGAGGGAGATTCAGACTTCCACATGAGGTGGTGATTGTTTATCCAATAATTTAAATATTACAAACGTAAACATTAGGTGAGCAGGTTACATTGTAACCCCGTGTCCTAACAACACACTTCATGACTAGATTTGCAGTGATGAACAATCTGGCTGTTTGCACCAGACAAAATGCAAAAGAAATTTAAATGCAGCCATTAAGAAGCACAGAATAGTCAGTCACTCACGAAGTGGTAAGATTTTATAATCTATTTAATACATATTAAACCTCTTAATATTATTAAATGTGAATGCTAAATCACTCATATGTGTTGGCTTGCATTGTTTTACAGTTCTAATGATCAATTTCAAACGGTTTATTTTATAGTAAACTATCTTCTGCTGCTTTCAGTATATGGCATTAAATGTCACGTAAAATGGGATTCAAACTCCTGTTTTTAGCCATTAACACTGAATAAAGCACGAGGTGTACCTGAGGTGATCATTGTCATTTATCCTGTTGGTTATATGTGAGAAATGGAATCTTTTTTTTTCAAAATTTCAGGTATTGGTTGGGACAAAAAAACTTTTTAATATATATTATTTAATATTTAATATATTTAATTTTGGCCATTGCTTCTAGTTAGAAAACAGTTCAAATCCGCCTTTAGACTCGATAGTTACACTCGCATCAATCTGGCAACCTGCACTTGCATGGACCTGTTAGGGGAGGTGCAGAGTGAAAATTAGTTTTGATCCAGCAGTGCAATACCTTGTTCAACCACTGGGTGTCAAACTTGCATACTGCAGCTTCAAATCACAACAAATAAGTTTGTAAACGAATGTATTTTCTGATAAGGTCCCTAGTACATTCTCAAGCTATACAAATAAAACTATTGTCATCATAAAGCAAGTATTAACATATCACTCAAACCCCTATAAACTCATACTAATCTAATGAAAAAATAGCATTTGAGCGGTTTTAATTTTTATTGTTGTAATTGATGTTCTCAATAAAAAAATATTCATTTTAATAATATTTTTTTTTCTCTTTCAGGCAATGAATAAGAAGATTGACATTATTAAAGGCCTTTTTGTGGCGTGTCGGTTTTCTGAGGCCCGATACATTGTGCGGTGCGACATTTCACCTCTCACTTAGAACATTTGACATTTCTCATATGATCAGCCATGCAGAAATGTTGAGTCCATTCTGAAAAATACAGAATATAATTTATGGATGACAGTTTATTTTATTCATTTTTACTAAATCTAAATGATGTGCTTCTGGCCTTGATTATGCTGCTGTACAGCGGCAGATTTATATGAATATTAATGCTAAAAAGCAATGTGTTAATTTGATTGGTTGGCCTTGTGATTGACAGGTCGTTGGCGGGGAAGTTGCGGATCGGATTGGCTGAGCAGAGTGTTCTTGCAGCTCTCAGTCAGGCTGTGTGTCTGACGCCTCCAGGCCAAGGTTTAAAACGATCCTAATGAAACTGGCATTAACACGCATCATAATCACAACATTGACAGAACCTCCAGGCATTCAGCATTTGCAATTAGATTACTCTCTGCCGTGATGAATAAAAATGAATAACACTTAAACGTGTTAATATTAATTAGGTGTTCGTTTAGTTCAGCAGTGCTAATATGTTTTCCTTGTGTTTATTCAGAGTTCCCACCAGCTGTGTTGGATGCAGGAAAAGGAATGAGTACAGAAAACAGGAGAGTATTCCTAGAGGAGAAAGCACTAATCCTGAAACAGACATATTGGTGAGTGTAAACAGATATACAGTGGAAGAAAAGTATTGAACACTTTTTTTTTTCCTGGGGAAAATATTCTAAATGAGCTGTTGATGTGGAATTGAACCAGATTTTGGTAAAACCCAAACAGTACAAACATAAAAATAAAACAAAACAAAAAAAAGTATGTGTAATGATGAAATGACACAGAGGAATTATGAACTACTGAGATGTATTTAACAGGGAAATTACCAACCTACATCACACAGGTTCAACTGCGCATAGTAGTTGCAATGGCAAACATGCCATGTTGTGTGGTAGGATGCCAAAATAGAAAGTGCAAAAATAGAAAACTTAAGTTTTACCGTACACCACACTGCTTTTAATGCCGACCGCAGACGTCTTTGGCCAACAGCCATCAGAAGAGCTGAATGGAGTGAGGACCTAATTAAAAATGCTTGACTGCAGTTCTCATTTTATATCAGGTAAGATCATGCTATGCTGAATCATATACATTACTTGTTTTTGATTGCAGCAATGATTTCAGCAAAAACACTTAGATATTTTTAATTAAACTGCAGACACTAAATGCTTAGAATGAAATGTAAAAAAGTTAGTTCACATACCCTGCCATACAGGTGCAGTTCGCTGTCAGAATGCAGTTGTTTTGCTTGTTGATGATTACCCAGGCCTTGTACAGTTGCGTCTTTTTCATTGTCTTTGGCTAAGCAGAACCTTGGTTTCTAGCACTACAAAGTTTTTAATCTGGTAATCATGGAACATTATTTCTTGCACATGACCACACAGAACTGTGCTGATCACTGGGTGACAAGCTGTTATAATGCGCTGAAAGCAATATCTGAGTAATGCATATAATATGTAATCAATATAACTTATCTCTAATACAACAACAAACTCTGTAGTGCATTGGATGTCATTCCCTCATTGGAAATGCTAGCACTCCTGTTTTTTTTTTCCTGCAATCTCGATGTGTGCGCATCCTGAATGTTTACAAACCAGTAATTTGCCTATACTTTATATAAAAGGCATTTTTAGTGATGGCAGCTTGAAGTCCTCTCTCATATGGAGAATGAAGTCACATGAATTGCTTCAACAGAGTGGAAAAATTCTAATGGTTCTGTGGGTCTCGTCTATCAAATCTGATCTTTAATTTTTATTTTATATTGGTTTTTAAGTCAGGTGATTGGCTGGGCCATTCTACAGCTTGATTTTCTTTCTCTGAAAGCATTTAAGAGTTTCCTTGGCTGTGTTTTGGATCATCGTCTTGCTGAAATGTCTACTCTGTTTCATCTTCAACATCATCCTGTTAATGTGGATGTTGGATTGAAGCAGCTAATATTAATTTACAATGACGAAGGGCTGAGGGTTGCTGAATAACTACTGGGAGATTTCAGTTTCTGTCTGGGCTATCACTGCCTTACTACACCTCCCTTTCTTTGTGTTCAATATTTTTTCCTGTGTCATTTCATTTTATTACACAAATTGATTTGTAAACTAATTAGATTAATTTTTTTTTGCATATATGGATTTGTTTTAGTCAACGACACCTTTAGAAATGTTTTTTTTTTTTTTTTTTTTTTGAAAAAAATACTCATATGCTCAATACTCATTTCCCCCACTGTAATTTTGAATATATTATGCATGTTCTTTCCAAAATTCCTTCTATTAGGCTTATTTGCTGCAAGGACACATTACATTTATCAAAAGTGACATCAAAGGCATTTATAATGTTTGAAAGCATTTTGTTTCAAGTGCTTCAGTCATTTTGAGCTCTTTCTAATCGTCAAGAATTCTAAACGAGTTAAATGTAACCGTGTCCACAAGAATATGAAGCAGAGAAAACTTCAAACATTGATAAAAATAAACAGCATTATTGAAGATGGAGTACCAATAATAACATTAGGAATTTCTGAAGAAAGTGAAGTAATGATAAATAAAAGATATGGTATGCACTGTTGTCTCACAGCAAGAAGGTTGCTGGTTCAAGTCCCCACTGGGTCAGTTGGCATTTCTGTGTGAGTTTGCATGTTCTCCCCATGTTGCTGTGGGTTTCCTCCGGGTGCTCCGGTTTCCCCCACGGTCAAAGACATGCGGTGACATAGGTGAACTGAATAAATTAAATTGGCTGTAGTGTATGTGTGTGTATCTCATTACTTACATTGATACATAATCGTGCAGGGTCATGCGTTTCATTCATTTTAAAGTGTGCTCTGACTATACAAAAATATGTTAAGAGACAGAATAAATCATGATATTTTTTATATATTTCTGACACTGGAAGTAAACACTTGTCAGTACAATGAGATATATTTAATAAGACTTATTAACATGTCTGCGGTTATAGTTTTCTTTTTATTTAGCTAATTATGTTTCGTAAAAGTAGCTCAGTTGATTGGTTTGACACTCCTTGGTTTGCAGTTGGTAAGATATTTAATAGGGTCTTTGCTTTTGAGCTCATTAGCAATATATTTTGCAAGGCTGATTCATTACTGTGAAAATGTTTGTGTTGCTCGAATGTTCTTATGTAAAAATTTCATCATGCATTGAGGAAAGCTATCCGTATTTAGATTTTAACACTGATTATTGTTGAAAGGCTAAAAATAGATTTTTAAAAATTTTTTATTTAAATGTCCAGCCAGGTTGGCTAGCGTTAGGTAAATATACGCAGTCGAGAGCACAACCTGATTGTCAAACACCAACCGCTGCTGTGAGGGATAATTATCTGTACACTACAAACAATATTTCAATTACGACTACAGGTGTCCCCTGCATAACAAGTGCTTTTTTAATGAGTATTAGCATAATTTGTACCCTGCAGGAAGCCTGATTTTAACAAATTGGACAGGTGTTGCAGTTGCTTTAAATCACCTCAATGCATGCAAATAATGTTTTCTGTGCTTTCTCTCATATTAGTGAGATGCCAAATTATGATGCAATCATTCCTGTATTGCTGAAGGAGGGGATTGATGAACTGCCCAATCACTGCAAGCTCACTCCAGGTACTGACCATTCGTAGCTTGCTCAGTTCTACTACTACTAAATGAAAATTTAATTTTAGAAATGGACTAAACTGTATTATGTTTTAAAGGGGTTCCTCTGCGACCCATGTTGGCTCATCCGACTAAAGGGGTTGGTGAGGTAATGAAACGTTTCGATGAAGCCTCCTTCACCTGCGAGTACAAATATGATGGAGAGAGAGCCCAGGTGTGCTATTTTAATCTTATTCCACAAGGTGGAGCCTCAGTCCTAAAAGTGACCTTTTTTGTTTCCATAGCAATACCATTGATTGAACTAATTGTTTTTTCTTTGCATTTAACAGATCCATATTCTTGAGAACGGAGAGGTGCGCATTTTCAGCAGAAACCAAGAGGACAACACGAGCAAATACCCTGATATTATCTCACGAATCCCACAGGTAATGCAAATGCAAAGCAGAGGGATAGAAATAGATTTCTGATGGATGCACAAGCTGGTCTCTGTGTCTAATGCAGGGCACATGCTGTGCCATTTTTGCCACAATTTTACTGTGTAATTTCTGGGATAATAAAAGATTCCATCATAGGGCAAAATTGGCAGTCTTGGACCGCCTAAGCCTCAGTGTGACATACTCACTGAAGCCCAGTTAATTGCTTTCGCAATGAAACCTTAGCCTTAGAGGTTCTGGCAGAATGATTGTTTTAGTCATGTTTATGTATTATATAAAAGTTTTGGAAAAAACCTAAAAGAAAACTGTAGCAACGGGGTAAATGCACAGCTAATTATCACAATATCATGTTTCATATCTTTCCATATTGATTATTATTGAATATTTTTTTATGATACATTTAGGAAAATAAGGATATTTTGTATGTTATTTAACCACTTTATTTTCATTTACCAACATTACTCAGCCAAATAGTTTTAAGAGTCAAAAAAAATATTTAAACAAAATATCTGATCTCTTTATAATAAAATAAACATGTTAAAGAGACTCTTAAACTTGATAGATAAAATGTTACAAATTTTGTGCAATTGTAAAGCGTAAACACTGAAGGTAGATCAACATCTGTCAACATCTGTAAGGTGTCAATAATGATTAATTAAACCTTAAACTCTGTTAACAACACAAATTTTGATAATCAAATCTGAGTTTTTAAGTAAAGAAACTAACCATCATTATTCAAAAACATACTGAACATTAAAAATTGTGAAGTTTAAAGACTACATTAGCACTATGCTAAAAAAATCTTTCAGAATGGGTGCTAGTGGCAGGGATGCACAAGAAAAGAATCCAAAAAGCCACTCTGGTGATTTACATTTTTTTTTACAATCTCCTAACTGCTGAAAACTCATTTTCAGACGTGTTGTTGTTCTGACCTGAAGTGTCAAGTGAAATGCGTGGTTTCCTTCACTATTTACAATAGGCTTTGTGCTTGCACTCCCCTGGCGTCTCTTGTAACTAGTCGACCATCCACCATTTTCTCAGAGGATGACAAAAAGACAACTCATTGTTGCAGCACCGATGCAAGTTTATGGAAAAAAGTAAAAAGCACTGCAGTGTTTGGATGCACCGTGTTGGTCTGAGGTGATTAGTCTACCATTATTACTGAAATGTGTATATTCCATACAAAGTGGGAAGCAAATTGGTTAGTTCTATGTACATGAATCGCGGTGGGCTCGTGGCATTCGGAAAAGTTCAGATGTTTTTTAACTGTAAACTAGGGTTGTAACAATATACCGGTATGACGGTTTACCACGATTTGAACGTGCACGATTATCATACCATGAACAATTGCATATCAACGGTTTTAACCCTTAAAGACCGAGACAGCCGCCCGCGGCTAAAAATAAGTATTGCTCTTAAGTGTTTTAATAACTTTTGATCCGCTGATCCGATTCATACAATTCAAAGATTGGCATAAAGAAGAGAATCTCAGCTTTCCAGTGCTGTATCACATAACATTCGCGGACTTTCAGAGGCTCCGGAATCAGTGCGGTTACGTCATCAACATTTGACAACGCTGATTTGACAAAGAAACGCTCGTCACTGTGTCTCCGGACAAATCAGACATGATACATTGATGCATTGTCCCTCCTCCATGCCCAGATTGGTTCAAACTCGCTATATCACAACCAATAAGCATAGGTTTCGCTTTTGTTTGTGGACCAAGCTTTTTGAACAACACGGAATGAGAGATAGGCATACATTTATGCGCGGCTAAATAAAACGCAAAAAAAAAAAGTTTTGCATGAAATAATTCCCATACTAAGTACTTTTGCATGCACAGCAGCACAGAAACATGACAAAACAGTGACACAGCAAAGACGAACTGCTGATCTTGCTGTTTTCAAAAGACACAAATGAAGGTGCAGCTGTTTGTCTGCATTGCATACAACCACATCCAAATCCACAGACAACCATATCCATGCTGGCACATAAAACCTAAGGATGTTCCATATTGAATCTAGTTTCGTTATGTAACTATTTATAGTATAGTAAATATTTATATCTATTTTTTTACTGAGGATTTGTACCATGTTTATTTGGACTTTATTTGGATTTTGACACATTATTTATTATTTTCTTATTTTTATTTGTTCATTGTAAGTGGTGTTGTTTATAGTAACTAAAAATATATTATTTGGAAAAAGTCAAATTTGCTTCACTGTTCTATTATTTTGTAACATTTGTAACATACCGTATACCGCGAAACCGTCAAACCGTGGTATTGTTTTAGACGATTATCATACCGTGAAAAATTCATACCGTTACAACCCTACTGTAAACACACACATACACGCACACCACGTGCGTCTCTCTGTGTGTGACGGCAGTTTCTCTGTCGACAGCTTTTCCATACGTTTTACATCTCAGACAATGAAGTCGCAAAAGATATGTAAACGATTCATGTTACTTACAAAGGCATATTCCGGATATGTGTAAAAGAAGTCCTGTAACGCATTGAGTTAAAAAAATACAGCAATGCTCTCTTATCTGGAGTGTAGCAGCAAAAAAAATCAATCAAGGCTCACACAGGTCTCATCCCACATCTTGTGCTTTATTCTGTCACCAGCGTCACCACAGAAAATAACTTAATCTGAGCATGAGAAAAAAAGAAAAATAAACATTGGTCCCGCGCACATGCGCTTCTCTTGTTACAGGTAGTTCACAGTATAAACACACACACAACGGCACACAAACACTCTCTTAAAGGAGCCACATCTCATTTTCACTCGTTGCAGACACTTGTTGACTAACTGTTTACACAAAACGCTCGTGCTTGTATGGGCGTGACGTGGAGCCGATCCGCAAATTGCAGCACATTATGACGATGACCAATCAGAGTCACTTGAGGGCGGGCCTTTCAGAGGAACTAGGAAATATATCAGTCGTTTTCATATTAGCTGAGTAGCTGTGTAAAATCAAAGTGAGATATATGAAAAAATAACGCGATTTCCTTCGAGTGAAACATGAGCACACATTGCTTTGCATCTTAACACAACCAAGCCATTAAAATTACATTCTGGACCACCCCTTTAATAAAACTAAAGCACTTCATAACAAACTTTTTTTATTAATATTAGCATTAGTGTTTGGTAAAATACTGAAATCGATTTCATTGCCCAGCCCTATGCTTTTTTTTTTGGACAATGATAAACTTTCAGTGTATTGTTAATGTGACTTAATGTGTTCTTTTTGAGCATCGATGTTGTAATGTAATTAAAATACAATAAGTTAAATAAACTTAAGCGTTCATTTAGTTGTTCAAGTGTAAAACGAGATGAAAGACCGTGTAACCATTAGAAGCTTCAGTACCTGCAGGCTAGTGCAGAAACTCCATTGAAAATACTGGGGTTAAAATCAATTGTCATATTTTAAAGACATGGTGTGGGAAAATGGAATTTAATGCAGTGCTTCTTGCCCTGCCTGGGACCCACTTCATTTTGTATATGTATCAGGCAGTAAAGATCACTGATTTTTAAAGAGATCAGTTCTTAAATGTTGCATTTTTGTAATAGACAATTCACTGGAAGCTCTGGGGCTGACTGGCTGAAAATTCAAAGTCTGTGTGCATAAACCCCATTATAGCTTTCTGAACTAAGTTCAAGATGAAGTAGTGATTTTACAAAACCCGAAAAGAAAATTTTATTAGTTTAATTAAGGAATTCATATTGCATGTTACAAATTTAAATGCTTCTCACTGACTCTGAAAGTGCTTTTTAATAATGGTTGCATCATCAAGACACACAATTGCTCCAAGCTCATTCTGTGTTTTTTTTCCCCAGCTGATAAACGGACTGTTAAAATTAGTTCTGCTGTTTTGTTCTGTTTGGCTTGCTATGTTTTTCATGCACAAATGGTCACACTTATCAGTCAGATTGGTAGTGCCACCAGTTACAGAAGATTGTAAACTGTGACTGTGTAGTGGGGCTGAATGACTTTAGATTTATTTTGGATCTTTTATGTTATTTATGTTAGAGTCAACATTGATCAACAAGATGCAAATGTTTTGCAACATGTCACAATGTGCTATTTATTAGGGAAAAATATACAAGACTCCTTAGTTTTTCATAATTTTTTGGGGGGGGATTTTAAAAATTACTGATTTTTGTTGTGTTAATTCCCAGAAATTTGCGGACAATTTTGTGATTTTAAAAAATATATAAATGTAAAAAATTATATATATTTACCATATGTTAGGTGTGCAATCTGAAACAATGACACAAAAGCTTCTTTATTTAGATCTGAAACGGTAAGGATTAGGCCAAAGAAAGGTTGTATAATTCTTATTTTTATCCACGATCTTTCTTTCAGATTTCACTCCAAGGTGTGTCTGATATAATGTATCGCACTCAGGACATCCGTTAGGGCTTCCCTTTTTTTTGTCTAGTTACCTGCAGGAAAAGAGTTAAATGAAATCATTTTGACGCACATCATAATACCAGTCATGCATGTAAAGCACAAATAATGTCCTTCAATTCGGTCACGTCCAGCGGCGATCACCCTTGAATCAATCTCATCTTCACCTGTTTGTTCCATTGCTTCGTTTGCTCTAACTTTCTTTTGCAGTCTTAAGCTCTTCAAATGCACAAAATGGCCAATTCTCGTCACAAGATGTCTATCTTATCTTTACTATGACTTCACATGTTAATCACTCGCGCTTCATTTGCGTCTGCTTACTGCACAACCTGAAAACTTTCCAGCCTTCTATTCCATGTACTTCTAGGATTGTGAGGGCTCAGAAGAGCCATCATTTTTTGAGACACTCAAATACATCACATGCGCTGTGTATGCAACGTCTATAAGTCATGTAAAACAAACAAAAGCAAACTGAAATAAATATAGTTTGATCATATAGTTTGGAATTTGATGTTTTATGAGATTATTTACATTTTCTGCGATTATTTTGCATTAAATTAAGAATTTTGCAGAAT